TTCAGCCGCAGCATTAACGAGTCACATAATGGATTTAGATCGCTAAATAGTAGGTTGTTGTTGTTTTTGTGTTTTTGTTCAAAGGACTTTACGTTTCATATCTTAAGTTTGTATTTTTATACATTTTATTTAACAGAACTTTAATATATTTTGATGTTCCTCTGTTCTGTTGTGACAATAAAAGAAACAAGTTTCTTTTTAAAATGCATTATCATATTATGTTAGTTAAAACTCATAAATAACTACAAATAAATAATGTTAGGGAAATCTGTTAATGTTTTGTTGCACGTTTCTGAAATTTAATATATATATATATATATATATATATATATATATATCGGCCTTCAAAATCCTTTATCGGTCGGGCTCTAGTCCACACCATTCAGTGTTACCTTTAACACTTTACAGTGTGCAGTGAGTGTTGTTTTTATAGTGTTAATAAGTATTGACTCTTATAGTTTTCAATTTACAACCTAGAGTGTTAGGACAATGTGTCTCCACCTCTTCCCAAATTGCAAGCCCATATGGGTAGCACACAAGTATAAAATGGGTAGCCCATATCTGCCCCATTTTAATGTACTCTCATTTGAACTCATTTGGCATTCAGCTGCTTTACTAAACCACATAATAAGAAAGACCAACATAGCCATTTCTTTTTTTTTATATACTGTATATATACAAGTTTAATTTCAGTTCAGCTCTTGATACCCAAGAAACTGTGCTCATGTAAGTAGAAAGGCATTGAAAAACTGTTGTTATAAATGTGTTTATTTAAGTATGTGTTTGATTGAAGAAACTTGACAGGATTAGTAAGTACCAGTCAAGCTCTCCTGATAACTGCCTGTATATAAAAGAGAGTGATGTATGGCACCAATCACCAAACACAGATTATGAAATTAGACTGTGTTACACAGCATAATATAATTTAGCAGAGTTGAGAAAAGGTGAGAGAGCTATCTTAATGACTTAAGGAGTGTATTTCCCCTAAAGCAGATATAATGGGTGGTTCCTTATTGCTTTTAGACCACAACTTGGGATCAAAGAACAAATCAAATAACTTTGCTCATTTAATATTCAGATTTTCATTAAACAATTTTTATAAACCCACCACGATCGGGTATGGTATGACTCTGAAATTAGTCTTTACCACTTTTTTTTATTTTAATTATTTGTTGTTCCCGGACATTTTTCAAAAGGAATTGCAAATTCCAAATGTGGATGCCTAAAGTGTGCAATTGCAAATTTTGCATTAATGTTTGTTTTTACTTTACTTCCACACCCCTCTTGGTCTTTGACTGCGAGTGACGTCACTCCCCATACAATCACGCCCCACAGTATAGACCCACCCCTGACCCTTGTAAGACATGGGAAATGCAATTGCAAATGGACTTTGCTTTTTCATTTGAAATGTGGCAGTCAGTGTTCGTTTGCGAAAGCGAAAAAGCAAACATTAATGCAAAATTTGCAATTGCATTTGAATTATGTCACACTTTATGCGTCCACATATGGAAAATGCAATTGCAAATGCATTTTGCAATTCCTTTTGAAAAATGTCCGGGATTTCCCTCCATACTGAGTAGTGCAGTTCTTATGTGTGCACATCCCCAAAGCCTTCTGAATTGAAAAGGTACATATGGCCTTAGACTTAGAAAAGAAACAAAATAATTGTTTTTCATGCTTTCTCTAGTTAAGCTATAGAGGCTTAACCATCTAGCCTAGTCACTGGGGAGCATTCAATTCAATTCAATTCAATTTTATTTATATAGCGCATTATCACAACATTACATTGTTTCAATGCACTTTACATTTCTGCCACGTAAGGACCCCGCAGTTAGTAAGCCAAAGGCAGCGGTGGCAAGGAAAAACTACCTAAGAGAAAGAAACCTTGGGAGAAACCAGACGCAAAAGGGGAGCCCATCCTCCAGGGGCCGGCAGATGAGTCAAGCAAACAAGATAATATGACTAAGCTAATACAGGGGTTGAAATATATGGCATGCAAGAGCCATTTCTGTGGTTTTTGTTCTCTTGCCCTATTCGTCACAATTGCGGTGGATAAAAAAAAAAAAAAACTTTTAAGTCAAAAAAAGTACTGTGTCATGTTATGCAAATATACATCCAACACCATTGGTCTACAAGGGAGTGGGCAGCACCAGGAGCTGCACAGAAAAGACTATCACAACTGTCCTAACACTTTTCCACATATGTTAACCATCCAAGGGCAGGACCAGCAATCAAATGCATCCCCATCCTATTAAAATATATACCACTTAGAAGACACATCCAGTACATCCCCAAGAGCTTTACTCAGACTTAACACAAACATACTAAGAAACCACAGATCACTAACCTCCAAGATCAGTCAGAACTGAGCCAGCAAATCTTCAATATAAAATGAGAAAAAACTGTAACGTCCTTTTTGGTCAGAGTCTTTCTCATGACGGTGGGTAAATCTGGGATGGCTTTTCTGATCCTCATGACTTCTTCTGCGCATATTAAATTGGGGCAGATATGTGGAGGTGGAGACTCATTGACTTAACACACTATGGTGTAAATTGAACACTATTAGAGTTCATAAAGTTTAACACTGTAAAACCAACACTCACTGCACACTGTACAGTGTTAAAGGTAACACTGAATGGTGTGGACACATATAGACACCATGCAGTGTTAATTTAACACTGGCACATTTGCTGTGTAGCCTACAGTTTGTACGGTTTTCAGTCCTATTTGTTTAACAAACTCACATTTTCCAAACAACCCTCAAAAGCTGCAGGTTTAGAGACAATTGTGAAAATGAAAGTACAAAGTTCAAAGCATTTTAAATAGTCACATATAACAGTTCAGATAATTGGCCACACCATAGTTCATGAATTATTTTATAAGTTGCTTTTCGTTTGTGTTAATTAGAATTAGGCTCTGCAGTAATGGATTTTGTCAACATCAGTTTTACTTTACAAGGAAAAATATAAGGTCGATTGATATTTATTCGTTAAAGAATTTCTATAATAAGCAATTATATCAATACAAATGCTGAAATCTTTCTTAAAATTTACATGGTTAGGAAGTTCCCGGAGAAGTTTGGTAAATATCAGTTCCATCCACAGACTTTTCAAAAAAGATTGTTTAGCAGGACGAGTTATGGGGGTTTCTTACATTTTGCACGATCTTGAAATATACAAATATTTGTTTGAAAAACTCACCTTTTCCAAACGACCTTTGACTGTAGCAGTACTCTGCAGACAGTTGTGGAAGTGAAAGTAGAAGTTAAAAAGCATTTCATACAGTCACACGGAGAGCGGCGGTTAAAGGTAAAATATAAGTACGTTTGGGATTTATCAGTTGTATAATTGCTAGACTAAGTTCTTATATTAATACAGATTTTAAAATCCTTCTACACATCTACATGATTTCCCTTGATATAATATTATTCAAGAACAGCAGAAAAATACCTCAAATGTTTTTAAAAACAGGAAAAAAAACTTTTCACACGCGGGCAAAATTAAGGAGTTATAAAGTTATACGATATATGGGCCTATTTGTTTAACAAACTCACCTTTTCCAAATGAGCCTTGAAAGCTGCAGCTTTACAGACAATTGTGAAAATGAAAGCAGTTCAAAGTGTTTTATATACTCACAGATAACGGTGGCCACACCACTGTTCATGAATATTTAATATTGCTGCAATTCTCATTTCAGGGTTGCCATTAAATTATTGATTTAAAATGCTATGGTAATGCCTAATATAAACAGAAAAGCAGTTACACTTTATCAAATAAATTGCTTAAAAGCAAATCAACTGTGAAATCTTTTTTTGTAGCTGATAATTTAAAAACTGGTTTGCGTAAACTATAATTTGGCTCCCAGATAATGAATTTGCCAACGTCAGTTTTCCTACGACCTTCGACCGCCGCAGTACTTTGCAGGTTGTGAAAGTGAAAGTAGAATTTCAAAATCATTTTATATAGTCACATGGATAACGGTGGTAAAAGGTAAAACATAAGGACTAAATGAAGGAGTTATGTGGTTTACTAGCCTACACTCTGTACCGTATACAGTATATTCAATTCCATTTATTTTTATATAACGTAATTCACAACAGAGTCTCCCCAAGGTGCTTTACATCAGTGTGTTGTGATACATTAATATACATACAATAATGCAGAACGGGAAAAAGGAAGGAAAGAAATTAAATAAAGAAAGGAATGGAGGGGAGGAACCAAAAAGTAGGAGAAAAAAAACTTCTGGGGGTCCAAGGTCAGCTGGCTGTTCAACCCCCCTGGGCATGATAACATTACTCAAAACAGATAAGAGTGGACTTGCTTGCTCAATGCAAGATGTAAGCTGGATCAAGACAAAGTCCACCAATGACTCTGTTATCAATGTTGGCTTGAGTAAGGTGGCCAAAGTCCTTCAATGTTTTCCATACTGGCCTGTGTAGGAGGACAGATTGAAGGCTGCACCCACGATGTTACAGTTTATAAGTCACCCACAATATTTGCATTGCTTTTTGCATTATGGGAAAGTAAGAACTTCATTTATTTTAGTACATCCTGTACTTATACATATGACAATAAATCTTGAACCATTCTCCTATGCACAATCGCTTAAAGAAGAAGTTGGGGCAGTTTTACAATGTAAAAACTGTTATTTCCACTCTAGGATCACACACACACACACACACACACTGACGTGCCGGTTAGCAAAAGTGGGGTAGTTTACCCTCTTCCCCTCCCTTCCCTGTCAAAAAATTTCTGATCATACTCGCAGACACATTGGCAAAATGTTTTATTGGAGGAGCAGTGGATTACAGGGCATACCTGTTTTAGCACCCCGCCACCAGAAAAGGCATCCCCTGTTAAATCTGGCTATACTGCATCTACACTGGTGAAGCTTGCAGAGGTTAGTCATGGTAGTCCCAAATGAAAATTTCAGCACAGTGCTGCAAAAATCGTAACATCGCTCATTCTAGTTTGATTTTCTCCTGCGTTTGTTAGGTGTATTTTTTGTGGGGGGGGGGACTTGTACTGTGAAGGGTAGCAGCTTTGGTGATGGCCCAGTTTGATCTTGTTGAAGTCAGTCTCTTTCCTACACAGGAGCAATTCAACTTGTGCCATAAAGACGACCTGCTGGCCATAGCAGGCTTCTTTAACATCTCAATCCCTAGTGATGCATCCAAAAGTGTGATCCAAAGGGTCCTTCAGGAGGAGTTAGTCCGGCTGGGATTCCTGCCAGAGACAGATGGTTCCCTGAGTGTTGCACCTAGCCTGACCTGGATGTCTGCCACAGATTTATGGCTCCGCATGGATCCTGGTAGTTCCGACTCGCCTAAGGAGGATACCCTCCTTATCATTTGGCTTCGGCACCTCTAAATAATCAAGTTTGAGCATAGCCTATGATAAGCGTCTGAAATATGCAAAATTTAGGGAAAAAAATAGATCGTGTTTCAGGCAAAAAAATTAGAGATGTGACTGAAAATTACAAATATGTATTGATCTAGATGCATAACATATTGGTTAAAATATTGATATATGGTGATATTCCTTAAAAATCAAGATATCTGAAATGGCTTGATGTGTCAATTTCAGTCGATATTTAAACTTTCAAAATTAGCACCACCAGAGCAAAATACATAACTACTACAATGATGGAGATGACTACATTGGAGAATCAGCCATCCGTAGTGGAGGACAAGGGATATTGTGGTCTCATTCTCCTCTTAGTAGAGGTCACAAATTACCAGCCCTCAATATGATTATAATTCATTATTAAATCTGGCCAGCAGATCGATCTTTTATGTTCCACACAATAAAAAACTATGATCGGTCATTTTGATGATTTGCACCAGCAAGCGTGGAAAGCTTCATCACCGGCAGCTAAAGAGTTAATATGCAACTGTGGAGGGTTAGCTAAATATGTACTACTAAGCCCCCCCCACCACACAAACTGGACTCCATCATCCCCCTTGAAATATTTTTCGTCCACTATGGATGACAAGCAGGTTGTGTAAATTTTGGTCTTTATACTGCTGGCCACTGCCTGAGTTAACAGTCTGCTGTTTGAACACATGAACACTGCTACACCATGACTGATAGGAGTGCTAGAAATATATAGGGCTCTATTTTGATGATCGAATGCAAAGCATACAGCGCAAAGTGGAACTAACAATTATGAGCGTGTCCAAATTCATTTTGCTATTTTGCCAGCAGACAGAAAGACTTTGCGGCAGCCCAAGAAACAAAAAGGTTATTCTAACTGTTTTATTTATCGAGAGGTGTGTCTTGTGCGTAATATGGAATGATTTTTTTGGTGTTTCATTGATCTTGGCTGAGGAACAGGTTTCTCTTGCTCGCCACTCAGCCTCATCAATACAACCTCCTTATCTGCCTTCATCTCTAGAGCTCGCAAGTGCAAGAGCTGCACCTGATTTTGATCTCCAGCTCCAATTCTTTCAGCAAGATTGACAGATGTGGGTCTGCAAGACCAGGAGATAGGCTTTCAGGATTCATGTCTACACTCTAAAAAAGAATGTATTAGGTCTACTCAAAAAGGTGTGTTAACTATTTGCATTGATCTTTTTAAGTTGTCCCAACTTAACTGTCCCAATTCAGTATTATTAAGTAATTGTTATTAAACTATCATTATTACACCAACAGAAATCATTAAATACACTCAAAGCTATATTAAGTTGAATCTACTCGATATTCAGTGGGCACTATTTGAATTTTCATATTGGTTGTACTTAATGCATGTGTTAGTTACACCATTAAATCAAGCACAATTGTTTTTCCTTCTATATCCAAAAGCTAAATTAAGTAATACCTACTTAATATTAATTCAGTATTCATTGAAATATTGTTACCTCATCATTCAAATAAAGTTGCTCTACCTTAATTTTTTTGTTTTCTACTCAGAAATGTCCATGCAAATAGTTAACACACTTTCTTTAGTATTAGTACCTTGTAGGGATGTGCGGTATACCGGTACTGTGAAAATACTGGTATTTATTATTTTTCAAACGGTACAATATCAAAAGTTTGCTCAGTTCGGTATTTCATCCGCTGTTCCGATTTTCACCACTATGCGGCAGTGTTGCGCAAACTGGTGTAAAACCGGCAAGCGTGAAAACAGACAAACGGCGATGGATCACACAGATGAAACGCGCTCTACACGTCCGAAATTAATAAATAACGAGAGTGGTAGAAGTGAAATATGGCATTACTTTGCCTACAAAAGTGATGAAAAGGGTGAACCCACAGACCTCAATGCACCAGTCTGCAAGCGCTGCTATAAATCATGTGCTGCCAAGGGAGGCAACACATCAAACCTTAGCAAGCATTTGTCACTTGCCCTTCCTGATTGTTCAAGAAGTTAAGAGAACAACAGGTGAGTTTCAACTGATTTAATTTAGACTTTTATTTGAAAGAAATCAGTATTATTATTTTTAGTAATCCTACTCTGTAGGGTTTTTTGTTGTTGTTGTTGCATTCTGGTTGCATTCACATTTTCTTTGTGATAAAGACTGAAAATATATTAAGAGATTACTTTTTTTAATTATATCTCTTCAGTTTTGTTTCTTCTAAAATCAAAATTGTAGTTTTTATTATTTTTTTGTAACAATTTCTTTGCACAGTTGTTCATAGAGTTTCAAGCACTGTGTTTAATAAAACTGTTTTCAATTCACCTATATTTGCCGGTTTCCTTTTTTTTACCTATGGTATTTATTTAGTATCGATACCAAGGTATTAGATCCTAGTATCGTACCGAAGTCAAAATTGTGGTATCGAGCCATGCCTAGTCTAAAATACCTATTGTATGCTTTTTGTGTTTAGAAAAATAATAAAAAATAAATAAATACCAGTATTTTCACAGTACCGGTATACCGCACATCCCTATTTTAGACATCCAGAAATTGTGCAAATGTTGCAAAAGCAGTCAAGTAGAAAACAATTTGAATAGTGGAATGTAATCGTGTGCATTATATGTGTCTATGATCAGCAGGGTTTAAATATAAGTACAGTCAATCTATTTCAATATATTTATATTATACAGCACAATACTATATATAGTACTATACACTATATACAATATCTATACAGTATCTAAGTAGTATTGCATTTGTAAAATGCAACTAGAAAATCCCTTGTCTCATGCTGTCTTGCCATGCTTCCCCGAAGATAATACTTGTCAAATTGGAATGTGTGTCTTCTGTTCAAGTAATTTAGCTGTGGAGCTTAATTAAAAATGGCGGGATCACAATTCGCATTAGTTAGCATAGCACCGCGCTGTGAGTGTTGTTTTTACAGTGTTAATATCTATTAACTCTTATAGTGTTCAATTGACAACCTACACTGTAAAAAAAATCCGTCAAAAAACAGAAAATGTACTGGCAGAAAATTACCAGCACATTTTCCGTTAACAGACTCTTCCTTCAAGTCTCAAGGAAAATACTGTAAATTCAGTTTTCCACAGTTTGTTGTTCCAAGGAATATTTCTTAACTAATAGTTTATTTTTATTTTTAATTTTTCATTCTGCCAATGCAGAATTGTTTGTTTAATAAATGGTGTTGTTCACAAAACTTT